GCTGTGTCTGTCTGCTGCCTCTTTCCCTCACGCACCGTCTGCACAGGGGTCGTTGAAGGCTATGCATGAAATGCTGCGGATGATAAAGAAATTGCAGATAGCTCATACAGAGTGTTACGAGCCTATGACGCTGCCCATTCAGTCGAAGCTCCCAGTATTGATTTAATGGGGAACAGAATCACAGCCTGGAACTATATAACTCTCTAGTTTGAGAGACTGTCCTGTCTCTGTTCTGTTGATTGTCCATCGAGATAAATTATCACAACTAACAGCACAACATATGGTTGCTGCTTCTGTGCACTGTTGCAAAAGTAACTGAAGTTTCATGGTTCCCAATATGCAATGTTCACACCTGACAGCGTAGGCCCTCACTGTTTATACAGCTGGCATGTCAAATGAGGTCATTTGTACCTTGAATCAATGAAAAAAAGGGTGTTTATATGGTATCTTCCAACCTGACCAAAATATTGTTTATTAATGCCTAAAATAAAAATGAAATTTAAGTGAGATGTTCTTTAAAACAGAACTTCCCAAGTTCTAACCCAGATGTTAATGCCAGTGACAAATATCAAGATTAGAGGAAAAGGTTACCACAAGTTACTGCTAATGATGGATTCTTCTTTCCAAGCTGTCACTGCTTGAATATCTTCCTGATGCCTTACTGGAACGTGTGTAAACTCAACAAACATGTCAGCTTATTTCATGAGCTTAGAGTGGGTGTTTAGACTATAAAATAAAGCCATTCCTCCAAGACACACTGTACACTTTGCAGCTAAGCTAAGAACATATTATGAAATATGTGTCGTTAATCTCTTTCATTCGAGTTACTCATAGGGCTTTCTGTGCCTTGTTAGTGAAGGGTTTAATCAGCAAACTAGCTTTTTTATGAGGTAAGGTGCTGTTCAGTGTGGCTTGCAGGGAGTAAATTAATTGTTAACTCAATAGCAGAATGGAAATTACAATGAACTTGGAAGATTTTTCTCCACTTTGAGTTTATTTGCAAGAACTCATGTGACTTGAGACATATGGAAACATTCCTTTGTAAAGCAGTTTTCCTGCATTGCCAAAATGACCCCCGTGTGTTGCTTCTTTCTCAGTGCATTTGCAAGTGACCTATTTTTGCACCTTGGTATTGCAAGATGACTGCATAAATAATGACTGGGGGACGTTGGGTTTTTGTTGGGTTGTTTTTTTTTTTTTGCTTGAAAGAGCAGTGATCTACCGTAATGTACAGATGCTGAATATTTTTCTTGAGTGCTGTTGCTTTGTGATTTTGAGATTCTCTTGTTTAAGATTGAATCACGTTGACTAACTTTGAGTCTTTGAAACATAAATCAAGTCTTTTGAAATTAGACTTTTGACAGACCACACTAACACAGCACTTCACAGCAGCTTATGGTAAATAGTTTTAAGATCTGTTTTGAACAGACCAATTTTAATTTGGTAAATAAGGCAGAAGTGAAATCTATGAAGACTCATGGAATCTGCCCTTGTTTTATTAGCTAATAACAGAATTACTGAATAATTAGCCTAAAATTCACACATTGTGAAAGTAGTTGTTAGCCTGGAAATGTGTGTATCTGTAAGCTGCTGTATGAGAATTGTGCGTTGTCTGTTTACTGTGTATAAATTAATCTGAGAAGGCATCTTGGTGTTCTTAAGTTACCTTCGTGTGGTGTTTTACCTTTAGTTAAACTTTACCAAAAGAGCAGGGTCTGAATTCTGTACTGGCGGTTTGGCATACCCCGTTCTCAGGTGTCTAACCTTCCCGTTTGTGAAATGAAAAAGGGGAAATCTGTGCATAGTGCTTCATTCCTGGCTTCAGCTGATAATGGACTGATACAGGGATGGAAATAAATCTCCTTGGAATCAAGGCATGTCCTCAGCATCTGTCTCTGTGACAAACTAAAGCTTCCAGCCCAGCTGCTGAGCCAGAGAGGCACGTGGTTGGTAGAGAGATCGCTTGGCGTTGAGCTGAGAACCGATGGGTTAAAAGCCTACAGAGGTCAGGCTTTAGGTCTTGCTGTGTTTTAAATACAATTTTTTGGGTTTACTGTATTTTGGTAACTTAGCTACAAGGTGGGTGTGGGGTTTTTTGTTTGTTTTTTTTTGAAAGGCCTCTACTTTGTAACTTACACATGGAAAAGAAGTGCAGAAAAATTACATTGCTGTAAAGGTGTAGACAAGACAGTCCTATAAATATCAACACTTGACTCTTAAATTATTTTGAAGAATTTGGATGGCCAAAATTAAACTCTGAAACATAAAATCAATTGAAACACCTTTGGTGGTTTTCCTGGTTTGTTTTTTTAAACTTTTCTTCAGAGATTACTCATTATTTTTAGCTGCTTAGATCCTTAGCAATTTTTGAACTTTTAGTAGACTGGTTTTACAGTCTCTTGGCTTATGCAGAAAGAGCTCTTTCAAAACAAATGGATAGAGATTTCCCTAAAATGGCAGCAAGTTAAACTTCCTTAGATCCCACATACAAAAGTGTTTTTTTAATCTGCTTGTGATAGTCAACACTGCACTGAGGAAAAAAAAAGTTGTTTTTTTTCCAAAGCATGTCTGTGTCACCAGATTTTGTTTAAGTATTTTCAAACTGCAGAATCTTACTTTATTTTCTGCCTGACTTACATGAACCAGTTTGTTTGGGCATGCTCTCCTACACATAACAATAATATGTCGTTCTGTTTGGTGTACGCACAAGCTGAGCAATTTTCTGTACAATTTGGGGACAATTTCTAATACTTGAATAGTTGGGCGGGGGGGAGGTTAGGAAATGCAAGCGTATGAATTAATGTGCAGTTAATATTCATAGACACATTTCCATAATTGCATACAAATTGAGACTTTTTCTGACAGTGTTTGGTATAATAGGCGTGGACAGTTATTCCTTCAAACCAGCTTTGTTCAAAGAATAATGAAAACTTAAGAAATAATTTTGTACTGTTGGTTAAGTTCTTGCTTTTTCTGAAATTGCACAGTTACATACAAACTTGTGCTGCAGTGTGCTGGGGAATGCTGAGGAGGCAGTAGGAGTCACCATACTGTGTGTTGCACTGGCTTCTTTCATTGCTTTCAGTGCAGCCTACAAAGATACTTTTAGAATATATATGTGATTTTTGTTACTCAGTTTTTAGAATAATAGCCACTGACTAGTGAAATTGAAGAGGAAAGGGAGTCTTTATGTAATGAATAATAGATTACATCTTTTTGCAGCTATATACCATGCTCCGAGAGAATACATGTGGCAGTAACGGAAATGGCAGCTTTGTTCCCAAAAGTAAGTACCTTCCAGCATTGAAATGTTTTTGGCCTCATTCCTCATTAGTAGATTTCCCTTCAGTACATGAAAACCAAAAGCCAAAGGTAGGGAGAAATGACTAGGTGTTTTTGTCAAATCTTGCAGCTTTGTATTTATTAGCATGCTGATTGGGAAGGGCTAATTTGTGAATCCAGGCCTTTAATTTTACTCTTGAACTTAAAACTTTAAGAATTGCATGCAGTTCCTCTAAAACTGGAGGCTACTTGTATCTAGCTTGAGGAGTCGTGGTTATACGGGAATTTTGCTAGACTCACCCCCAAGTTGCCATTTGAGTGCCGTTGCCTGGATTTCTTACTTGCAGGTATATTTAGACCAGTTATCCATATACCAAAGTCATTTGTTTCTTCACAGCAGATTTAGGGAGTGAAGTCTCCATGATGAAGATTTTGTAAAGTCTTACCTCTCTAAAACTGCCAGGAGAACCTAATGCTGTTGTGCCTACCTGACCTGCTCGTCTTGTACACGCTGTACCTTGATGTCAGCCAGGACGCGGGCTGGGTAGCAGAAAAAGTGTATGAGTAACTTCCTAAATGGGAGGATGAAGCAGTATTCCCTGCATTCTGCCTGGCAGCAGTTTGAAATCTCCCTGAGATGAGAGAGGAGAAATTCCAGGAACTTGTTTCTACCCCACCTCTTGTGCAGAAAGCAGGGCCCTGGCAGCAGATGGCCTGTACTAAACAGTACTTGTGAACCACTACCAGCTAATTAAAAGTGATCCTGAAACGGTTTTGTTGTTCTTAGTTCAACTTCTTCTTTCCCTTCCCAGAAACCCAGATCTGAACTGGTAAGGACTTCTTTGCGTCTGCTGACATCTAGTGCCTACAGACTCCAGTCCGAGTGCAAAAAAACCCTTCCCGTGGAGACATGCCCTACGACAGACATCCAGCTGGTCACGCAGCAAGTTATCCAGTGCGCCTACGACATCGCCAAGGCTGCTAAACAGCTGGTTACCATCACAACCAAAGAGAACAACAACTGAGTCACACTTGGCTTTTTAGGCTTGTTTTTTAAAGGTTGGATTTCAAATATAGGTGTGGAACTATTCAAATTTTTATGAGAAAAACTAAAGGGGCAAGAAACTTTTTTTTTAAAACTCAGTATTATTTTTGCATGTTTTCTAACAATTTTATGATTAATTTAACCCACTGCCTTATTTTGTGCCTGTGTTGCCAGTTTAGTTACAGATAATAGCATGTTGCAAATAGCTGTTGAGCCAATATCACGTACCAGCGTTATATCAAGCTCTTGCTAGATGTTTCCTTGGGGCCACGTTCTGCTTTCAGATACTGCTTGCAAACCTCCCGCTGACATCAGCTGCTCCTATCGGAGGGCAGAATCTGGCCTCTGCTCCGTCCATCCCGGAGCCGTGTGTGCCGTGATGTCGCTGACTGAGAAACCTGCAGCGACACAGGGCTCTGACGGCTCCAGGACCATAACTGCCACCCAGCAGGAAGAAGGCTGTAGTCCTGATAACGGAGTACAAGCCGAATATTATCTGTTCCCATATTGACTGTTGTGCAATAATATGTTTTTAGTCTGCTAAAACAATAGTAGTTGTGGGCATCCGAGCTTATTACATGTAACTATACAAGGTCTTTGTCACTTTATCTGTTTTGGAAGGAATTTGAAATGTAATAGTTATTTCTTTTAGTTGTCACTATGCCATTAATATATATGTTTGATGTTATTTTAGGGCATTAGTGGTTAAAATATTATCCTTTGTTTCCGATTTAATAATTCATTCTTAAGTTTTCTACAGAATTTTACTGTCATCTCCAAGGCACTATCTTGTTTGCAGCAGCATTGCTCAGTAACTCGATGCAATTTCACTAAAGATTTCTGTGGTAATTAAAAAAAACCAAAAAACCACAAAACAAAAAAAGGAAGTTAGAAGAGTGCCAGTGCAAAAGCAGCTGTGTCTGCCATAGCATATAACCTCTGTACCTCAACATACCCAAATGTGAAAAGATTGCTTACTTCTAGTTTTATGCAAATCTTTCAAAATTTTACAAGCTACGTGTGGAGTAACCCATGCTAGGCTGCCTGTCAGAAAGGTAGGTGGGTGACAAATGTCAGTGTGTGTTTCAGGTTTTGCCATTCACAGCAGTTCACAAAACTTCCAAAACTGTGTCCCGTGATTTCAAAAACTAGAGTGTTTTGGGAGTCTAAATTCCATGGGGGGGAATCACCACTTTTTGCCTCTGCGTGTGTCCCTTTTGGAAGCGTGTTGTCATTTCCAAGGAGCCGGCCCTGGCAGTTCAGCTGATGTGAACATTTGGACGGTTTTCACAGAACCGGCGCTCTGCTGTTCCACAAACAGGTCTGCAGCGTGCCGCCTGCCAAAACCACCCACCCTTCAAGGCTTTCTGGTGAAAAACGGCCATGTTTAGGAGCACGAGCGAACTACAGTTCAGTGGTTGGTTCCTGTTCAAATCATAGTGTGTCTGTATGTATAAATAAGCACTAAGTGCCAGAACACTGTCGATTCTTGTGTGTTGCAATTACCTCCCTTTTTAAAGTAGTGCAAGTTTGAGGGAAGGAAGGGAGAGAGTAGAGGACAATCCTGTAATGTTCATCATAGTGGGGTTTTTATTTCTTTTCTGCACTTCTGAATTCCAGAACTGTCTCTAAACTAATGGGAACGTAGACAGGCTGGGATTAGAACTGCGAAAGATATTTCTAAAACCTACTTCAGAATTATGCTACTGGCAATTAAATACATTGATAATCTTCTAGGAACTTTTTCTTAAATTGGCATCCTTGAAAGGCAGCGGACGGTATTTTTTAATCTCAGGACACCGTTGTATGCTTTCTGTAACGTATCTTGCTCGGTTCCCAAAGCAGGGTAATACTGAGTTACGCTGTAATTTACCAGTTGTTTAAACTTGCCTCTGTACCAAACCAAAGGGGCCCGTAGATAACTGCAAGCCCTCATTCCAGCTATGCTAGCTCCGGATTTTCTAAAATAAACTATTTACCTTGGTTTAGCTATAAGAACATGGCCAACCCGTAATTGATTTCCCATCCTGTCACTTAAACAATATTTCTGGTCCCTTCCCCCAGTTGGGAACACGTTTGTTGTAGGTTGGTTACGGTCACACTGCGTCATCGCTCCAGAACTGTGGTGACAGTCATGCAAGACGGGCACTTCTCCGACACGTGCTGCTGTGCTCCCTCAGCTCTTCC